GGCCAGGCCACAGGAGCAGGCACCTCCGAGACTGCAGAGGGGCGTGGGAGCCCTTCCCGGGCCCCCAAAAGTGCTGAGATGCCGGGGTCTGCAGCCACAGCTTGGGAAGCTACAAGTGCGGGAGGGCAGGGATCCCACCTACCTCTGGCACCCAAGAGCACAGGGATGCCTGGGTGTGTGGCCACAGCTCAAGTATCTGCACTTGCACACGGGAGGGTGGAACTTCTGCCTGCTCCCAGAACCAAAAGAGCAGGGATGCCCGGGTCCGCAGCCAGAGCTGGGCAGCTGCAACTGAGTCTCGGGAGCACAAGACTCCCGCCTGCCAACTGCTAGGGAGCTGGGGCTTCCGCCTGCTCCGGCTTCTGCAGGCTCCATGGAGCACCTCTCCCACTGCAGCCAGCGTCAGGGCAGCTGCCACTCCACACGGGCCGCGGCTGACTTACACTGGGCCTTTGCATTTTCAAAGGTGTGACCACAGAGATAAAGTGCCCTTTTTATTCCGTCACAGCAGGGAGCACATAATATCATATGCAATGGCGCCAGCTTTAATCACTTGCTTAACCTAGTGTTTGCACTAAATAAAACGGAAACTTAAAATTGTTACCTCTCTGTACTCTATTCCTTGGGAGACTGTTATTCCAGCCGACACTAAATGAAGTAGATCATGAACTCCACATCTGAAAGTGGGGGGCGTTTCTAGATGAGTAGGGAAGATTTCTGTCTGCTTCTCCATCTGCATATTGATTCAATCATGTATTTGTAACAGTATGGACTCATACTTTTTATACCACTCATACCTTTTTTAATTCGGGTTATAATCCAGTGGTATGTTATTTATTTCCTTGTTGAAATTGCTCCAGCTTTGCCCGTTAAGAGCCCTTTCTGGTTGGCTACTGGGTGCCTTGGACAGGTCTTCAACCTTTTGCTATCCTTTTCTCTTTAGGCCCCTCCATGATTTCTGGTATTACTGGTCCTTCTACTGCAGGCTTGTCTTCTATATTTCTTCACCAGCCTCAGAAATATCTTAGAATCTAACATTTCTCCAAGGATCTCTGGTTGTTTTCACTGGAAAATGGCATTCGAAAACACTATATGAATGTGACATGTGCACACTGCAATGCGGGTAACAGTGTTCTAGGCTATTTCAGCAGAAATGGCTGGGTCATGTGTGTCTGCACAGTAAGCCCTGTATCCACACGTATCTGTCATTGTTTCTGTATCTGTCCATCTGGGTGTGTGTGTCCGTGTGTATTTATGCTTATGTTTAAACATGAGGTCATAGTGATAACTCTAACACAGTCCTCATGGTCATTCTGGACTTCCTTTCTGACCTCTTTGTGACTTCCCATAACAACAGTGAGGAACCGGGATGCCACTGCTCATCTTCTAACGTTTTTGTCCAACACTGGTAATTATATAACCAGCCGTACCCACACGAGAAAAAAATTCACCATTCAGAATACACTGTTTATGCACAGTTACTTTTGTCTTTAACCTGACACTTTTAAATCAAAACAGTATTTCTCAAAGTAAGTGAAATCAGTATTTACTTCTTCTCTACCCTTTTCAGTGTTATTAGCTTACGTATTTCTATAAAGTGAGGTTGATTTGTCATTGTCTGCATACCATTCTAGGATATCCCCACGTCTTGGAGATATTTTTGCTTGTTTATTTGCATACATTTGCATGCAATTTTGTGATAGACTTCTTTGGGATTAATAAATCATGGACATGTATTATTAGTGCAGCACTGTATAAAACAATTCCATTATTTAAAAATTTCCCCTGAGTGTCTTCTTTGTAATCAACTAATCTCCCTATACTAAGCCCTGCATGTCTTTCCATCCCAACAGGTTTTTTTCCAGATGTCTTATGAATGAAATAATACCATATTCATATTGTGTATGTATCAGTAGCTCATTCCATCACATTGATTAATAGTATTTATTGATCAATCAGTTTCCACACAATCATAGATCATAGTGTGAAAATACCCAAGATCATCTTTCCCCTGTTGAAGGGCATGGGTTGGTTAGTTTTGAGCAATTATGAATAAACTGATATAACCGTTTGCATACAGATTTTTACATGGACATAAGTTTTAATTCACTGGGGTAAATACTTAGGAATGTGATTGTTAACTCATATGGCAAGACTATATTAAACTTGATAAAAACTGCCAAATGGTCAAAGTGATTGCACCAATTTACATTTCTACCAGCAATCAAAGAGTTTCCCTCATTTTGCATTTTTGCTAGCATTTACTATTTTCAGTTTGTTTGTTATAGCAACAAAGGGATTTGTGAGAATTTATTTTCAATCTTGTTATAGGAGTACTTTCATAATACTCCAATTTTGTATCTTGGTTTACAAAGCCTTAATACAGACTATGTAGCTTTTCATAGAAAAAATACTGCCATCAGAACTCTCATATAGATTTCTTAAATCAATGAGATTTCCTTCAGTCAACTTAACTGTCAATCAATTATTGCAAGCCTTTTTAATGAGGGAAATCATGGCTTTGGTAAGAACAAGTCAGTTCTTTCATTTCTTCCTAAGAATTTTTTTCTGTATCTATCACTAAATGTGTATTTGAAATTTTTCTAATTAAATTTTTCTAATACAAATAATCTATGAAACTATTCCATTTTCCCAATACAGTTTAGAGATTACTTCAACATTTGGCTAAATGTTCTGAACCTTACTTTCAAACTACATTTTTTTAGTAGAAAAATGCTTAATTCATGCTGAATACGTTCAGTGTGATTTTTAAAGGTTTCACAATTCAATGGTCTTCATATAACCTAATTCATATTTTATTTCTCTCTCCATGAAGTCTTTTAAGAGCCCAGGCACAGTGGCTCACACCTGTAATTCCAGCACTTTGGGAGGCCAAAGTGGGAGCATCACTTGTGGTCAGGAACTTGAGACCAGCCTAGGCAACATGGTGAAGCGCTCTCTCTACTAAAAATACAAAAAAATTTTACATTATTTTGGCATCAGAAGTGATGGTGCATGCCTATAATCCCAGCTACTCAGAATGCTGAGGGAGGAGAGTCTCTTGAAACTGTAAGATGGAGGTTTCAGTCAGCTGAGATCACACCACTGCACTCCAACCCAGGCAACAGAGCAAGACTCCGTCTCAAAAAAGACTATACATATATATATATTTTGAGACGGAGTTTCACTCTTGTTACCCAGGCTGGAGTGCAATGGCATGAGTTTAAGGATATGAACAGACACTTTTCAAAAGAAGACATATATGTGGTCAACAAATATATGAAAAAATGCTCCTCATCACTGGTCATTAGAGAAATGCAAATCAAAACCTTACTGAGATACCATCTCATGCCAGTTAGAATGGCGATCATTAAAAAAATCTGGAGACAACAGATGCTGGAGAGGATGTGGAGAAATAGGAACAATTTTACACTGTTGGTGGGAGTGTAAACTAGTTCAACCATTGTGGGAGACAGTCTGGGGCTTCCTCAAGGACCTAGAAATAGAAATTCCATTTGACCCAGCAATCCCATTACTGGGTATATATCCAAAGGATTATAAATCATTCTATTATAAAGACACATGCACATGTATGTTCATTGTGGCACTGTTTACAATAGCAAAGACCTGGAACCAACCCAAATGCCCGTCAATTATAGACTGAACAAAGAAAATGTGGCACATATACACCATGGAATACTATGCAGTCATAAAAAACGATGAGTTTGTGTCCTTTGTAGGAACATGGATTAATCTATAAACCATCATTCTCAGCAAACTGACACAAGAACAGAAAATCAAACACCTCATGTTTTCACTCACATGTGGATGATGAACAATGAGAACACTTGGGCACAGGGAAGAGAACAACATTCACTGGGTTAGGTTTGAGGGTGGGAGGATAGAGGGGACAGCACAGGGGCAGAAGGATGGGGAGGGATGATACCAGGAGAAATGCCTGATGTAGGCAACAGGGGGTTAGGGCAGATGGAGACAGCAAACCACCATGGCATGTATGTACCTATGCAACAATCCTGATGCACCCCAGAGCCCAAAGTACAATTTAAAAAAAAAAAGAAGCATAAACAAATGTTTTCCAATCCTCTTTGACTGAACACTGATTGATACTCATTCTGATTTGATTCAATTCTAAGTTCCAGCATCCGTTTTATCTTCTACAAGTATAGTAGGACTATTCATCAATTTTCACTCAGATATTTGGTCTGATTTCTTATCACTTAGCAGTTAATCCAAGGATATAAATATCGTTTTGCCCAGTGGTGGACTCATCATCCAATCATTGAGCTTCTTTTGCAAACAGGTTAGATTTTTCTCAAGATTGAAATGCTCATCTAAACTCTATTTTATCACTGTCTTAAGTTGTAGTTTTTTTTCTCTTCTGATATAGTTTTAAGGTTATTCTGGCATCATATTCTCACTATTTAAAAGACTCAAACATGTCTTCCAGTGACTGAACCATATTCTAAACCTAGCCATGAATGTAATTCATTCTGAAGGTTTTTCAAAAGATTACATACAAATGGCCAATAAACATATGAACAAATGCTAATCATAAGAGAACTGCAAATTAAACCCACAATAAGATATTACCTTATACCAGTCAAAATGGCCATTATTAAAAAATGGTTCAAGCAATTCTCCTGTTTCAGTCTCCCTAGTAGCTGGGACTACAGGAACCTGCCACCACACCCGGCTAATTTTCTGTATTTTTACTAGAGATGGGGTTTCAACATGTTGGCCAGGGTGGTCTCAAACTTCTGACCTCAGGTGATCCACCTGCCTCGGCCTCCCAAAGTGCTGGGATTACAGGTGTAAGCCATCATGCCAAGTTCATATTCTTTTTTAATCAGCCTAATTTATTAAAACTTTACATTTGTCTTCAACTAGAGAAGAAACTTCTCTGGTAAACTTTTTTTCCTCTCTTTACATAAAGTTGGCTTTTATAATTACAAAACCCAAATATAGCTGCACTTACTTACCACCATCTCCCAGGTGAAACCATAGAACTCTGATGTGAGTCTCATGTCTCCTTGCAACATTGACTTGGCCTCCATCAGCTTCTCCAGGACCTGTGTAAAGTAATACCTCTTAGCAGTAAGCAGATTTTCCACAGCACCAAATCCACCTTTGGTTGCCAAGACCCTCTGATTCTACAAACTGCAGAGAACACTAGGAGCATTCTGCTTGGAACCTAAATCTGCACCTAGCAACCAGGACAGAGCATCAGTGGGGTGCCAATGGGGGAGGACAGATGGTGCTTTCTAAACATTTTCCCTAAAATAGCACATGAAAAATTGAGAAGCTACAAGGCTCTTGTTGATCCAAGGAGACCGGCACAGAGACTGTCTGCCTTCCAGGCACTAACAAGAAACGCTGAAGTATGAGAGAATTCATGTCATTTCATTCATGTACAATTCAGGAATTACTAAGAACATGGCAGTAAATAACTTACATGCCTAAATCAATAGTCAAAATCCTCTTAATGTTAACATGTCTTTCTGAGGCTCTGCTAAACCTAATTTTTAAAAATTCAGAGGTATCTCAACATAGCATTCCACCTTGTTTTGGTTTTGGTTACATGAGGGGGATAGGCATGAGAGAGTTAAATTATTGTCACTAAGTTATGAATCTAATTTTCAAATGTAAAAACTCATAAAGAATGAAGGTAATTTGGGTTTGGGGTATTTTTTTTAACTTTTAGCTTCATGGGTATATGTGCAGCTTTGTTACACAGGTAAACTGTGCATCACAGTGGTTTGGAGCACAGATAATTTCATCACTCAAATAATAAGCGTAGTACATACTAGGTATTTTTTCTGATCTTCCTCCTCCCACCCGTCACCATCAAGTAGACCCCAGTGTGTGCGGCTCATCTCCTAGAATCCGTGTGTTCTTATGGTTTAGCTCTCACGTGTAAGTGAGAACATGCAGAACTCAGCTCTCTTTCTCAGTGTGCTTAGGATGATGGCCGGCAGCTCCCTTCATGGTGCTGCGAAGGAAATGATCTCATTCTTTTTATGACTTGTATTCTCATTGTTTTTACGACATACTATTTCATGGGGTCCATGTACCACATTTTCTTTACTCTGTCTACTGTTGATGGGCATTTAGGTTATTTCATGTCTCTGCTGTTGTGAATAGTGCTGCAGCGAACATACTCGTGCATATGTCTTTATGATAGAATAATTTGTATTTCTTTGAGCATATACCCAGTTATGGGATTGCTGGGTCGAACAGTACTTCCATTTAAAGTTCTTTGAGGAATCATCACACCATTTTCCACAATAGTTAAACTAATTTACATTCCCACCAGCAGTATATAAGCATTCCCCTTTCTCTGTAACCTTGACGTATCTGTTATTAATAATTTAGCTTTTTGATAATAGCCATTCTGCGTGCTACAAAATGGTATTTCATCGTGGTTTTGATTTGCATTTCTCTAGTGATTAATGGTACTGAGGATTTTTTTATATGCTTGGCTGCATGTGTGTCTTCTTTTTTTCTTCTTTTTTTTTTTTTGAGACGGAGTTTTGCTCTTGTTACCCAGGCTGGAGTGCAATGGCTTGGTCTCGGCTCACTGCAACCTCCACCTCCTGGGTTCAGGCAATTCTCCTTCCTCAGCTTCCCGAGTAGCTGGGATTACAGGCACGCGCCACCATGCCCAGCTAATTTTTTGTATATTTAGTAGAGACGGGGTTTCACCATGTTGACCAGGATGGTTTCGATCTCTTGACCTCGTGATCCACCCGCCTCGGCCTCCCAAAGTGCTGGGATTACAGGCTTGAGCTACCGCGCCCGGCGGCATGTGTGTCTTCTTTTGGAAAGTGTCTGTTGATACCTTTTGTCGACTCTTAAACGGTGTTGTTTCTTTTTTGTAAATTTTTTTAAGTTCTTTATAGATGTTGGATATTAGACCTTCGTTGAATACATTGTATTTAGATATTTTCTCTCATTTTGTAGGTTGTCTGTTTCCATTGTTGATAGTTTCTTTTACTGTGAGAAGTTATTTAGTTTAGGTTTCATTTGTCGATTTTTGTTTTTGTTGCAATTGCTTTTGGCATCTTCCTCACGAAATCTTTGCCAAGTCCTATGTCCAGAATGGTATTTCCTAGGTTACCATCCAGAGTTGTTTTTGTTTTTTTTGTTGTTGTTGTTGTTTTGAGTTGGAGTTTCACTCTTGTTACCCAGGCTGGAGTGCAATGACACGATCTCAGCTTACTGCAACCTCCACCTCCTGGGTTCAACTAATTCTCCTGCCTCAGCCTCCTGAGTAGCTGGGACTACAGGCACGCACCACCATGCCCAGTTAATTTTTGTATTTTTAGTAGAGAAGGGGTTTCACCATGTTGACCAGGATGGTCTCGAGCTCTTGACCTCGTGATCCACCCCCCTCGGCCTCCCAAAGTGCACAAGCCAATATTAATAGTTTTCATTTTTACATTTAAGTCTTTAATCCATCTTGAGTTGATTTTTGTATGTGGTGCAAGGTAGGCATCCAGTTTCAATCTTCTGCAGGGAGCTAGTCAGTTATCCCAGTACCCTTTATAAAATGCAGACTCCTTTACCCATTGCTTGTTTTTGTCAACTTTGTTGAATATCATTTGTTTGTAGGTGTGTAGAATTATTTCTGGGTTCTCTATTCTATTCCACTGGTACATGTATATACATATATATATATATATATGTTTTCATACCAGTACCATGCTGTTTTGATTACTGTAGCCTTGTATATAAGTTGGGTAAGGTGATGCCTCTAGCTTTGTTCTTTTTCCTTGGGATTGCCTTGGCTATTAGGGCTCTTATTTGGTTCCATGTAAATTTTAAGAGATTTTATTTTCTAATTCTGTGAACAATGTCATTGGTAGTTTGATAGGAGATGCATTGAATCTACAAATTGCTTTGGACAACACGGTCATTGTAATGATGCTGATTGTTAGTATCCACCAGCATGGGATGGTTTTCCATTTCTTTTAGCAGTGTTTTGTAATTCTCATTGTAGACATGCTTTAACTTCTTGGTTAGCAGTATTCCTAGGTATTTTATTCTTTTTGGGGAAGTTGTGAATGGGACTGCTTTCCTGATTTAGACCTCAGCTTGGATGCTGCTGATGGATGAGAATGCTAAATTTTTGTGTGTTGATTTCATACTCTGAAATTTTCCAAGGTTATTTATCAAATCAAGGAGCTTTTGGACCAAAACTATAGGGTTTTCTACGTATAGAATCATGTCTTCTGCAAAAAGAAATAGTTTAACTTCCTCTATTCCTATTTGGATGCCTCTCATTTATTTCTCTTGCCTAATTGCTCTGGCCAGGACTTCCAATACTATGTTGAATAGAAGTAGTAATAGACAGCATCAATGTCTTATACCTGTTTTCAAGGGGAATGCTTCCAGCTTTTGCCCATTCAGTATAAGGTTGGCTGTGGGGTTGTTTTTTTTTTAACAGATTTCTCATGTTATTTTGAAGTATATTCCTTCAATGCCTAGTTTTTTGAGGGTTTTCAACATTAAGGGATGTTGAATTTTACTGAAAGCCTTTTCTGCATGTATTGAGATGATCATGTGGTTTTTGTTTTCAGTTCCGTTTATGTGATGAATCACATTTATTGATTTGCATATACTGAACCAACCTTTTGTCTCAGGGATAAAGCCTTCTTGATCATGGTAGGCTTTATCCCTACAATGCATGGGATCGTGGTAGGCTTTTTCCCTGGGATGCAAATGATCACACTCTATTCTCTGGAACCTGTGATTATATGTTACTTTACATGGCAAAAGGACTTTTTTAGGTGTGATTAAATTCAGAATCTTGAGATGGGGAGAGTATCCTGGATTAGGCAGGTAAGCTGACATAATCACACATGTGCATATAAGAGGAAGGCTGGAGGTCAGAGAGAAGATATTCTGCTGCTGACTTTAAAGATACAGGAATGGACTAAGAGCCATGGAATGTAGGTTGCCTCTAGAAGATAGAAAAGGTGAGAAAACAGCTGTTTCATCAAAAAGCTAGTAAATTAGGTTTTTATGGGCCGTGGGATTACATTTGCCAGTATTTGGTTGAGAAGAATCAAGGTAATTTGAATGATCTTCACATTCCAAGAATTTAGAGTCCTGCCCAATTGCTCCCCAAACCCATAGGCAGTCGCTGTTCTTCAGCATTTCTCCACTCTCAAGCACGATCTGAAAACTTTCCATTTCCTGAGATGGTAAAGAAATGTGATGTTATAACTAGATAAATATTTGCCAACAATATTACCATCTCTTGGTGTTGTCTACTCCATGCATTTTTAGTGAATTCTTCATTAGGAAACCCCATACTTTATTCAAAATTTTTGTTTATTTGACCTAAGATAAACGAAGTTATCTATTCCTCCCAAAGAAAGGTGTCAGACATGTCACAATTGTCTGAGTTTGCCAAAAGTAAGAAAATATTCTAAGAAGTATGGAGACATATAAAAAAAACATGAAACAACTGGAAGGGGTCTTCTCTAGCCAAGAAAGTGACAGTTTCAGATCAAAATAATGACAGAATGAAATAAGAATGCATAAGACCATATTAGGATATACAGATAAATACAAAGATAAATAATATCTGATATGCACTTGTACACACACACACATAGGAATAAAGGAAAGCTATTCCTTCACATAGAATGCCAACTCTATTTGTTTTCCATTGTTGCTAGAACAAATTACTACAACTTTGGTGTTTAAAATAACATATTTTATAAGTCTGGAGAGAGGAGGACTAAATTGGGTCTACAGGGCTCTTCTACCGGCTTTAGGAGAGATTCTGTTTCCTCAACTACTCCCACTTTCAAAGCAAGCTGTATTCCTTGGCTCATGGCCTATCCCTCTATCTTTAAAGTCAGCAGCAGAACATCTTCTCTCTGCCCTCCGGCATCACTCTTAAATGGATGCATTGATTATGTCAGCCCACCTGCTAATCCAGGATAATAAACCCAACTCAAGGTTATGAATTTAATCACATCTATAAAAATCCTTTTGCCATGTAAAGTAACGTATCATCACAGGTCCCAGAGATTAGGGTGTGATCATTTGAGAGAAG